GTACTTCTGATTTGATTTGAAACTGTCTCATTGCTATCTGTTTATCAATAAAACTGTAGAAAAAAAATAAAAAATGAAAAATAAAAATAAATTTTAAAAAAACACTCATTTCCTTTACTAACATGCCTTACCAATGACCCTTCTACTCTGTGCTGCTGTAAATTATTTCTGTTATCTCACATGACCTATGGATTAGGGCCAGGTGGTACTTGCCCTTCCATGTCTGACTTATTTCAAGTACAGTGTTCAGTCGTACTCAGGTTTAATTCCTTTCCTTCTCCCTCAAGAAGAAGTATGAGGGTTATGCACTTTGCCTCAACCTCTCAAGGTTATGCGTGCACTGTCACTGGCCACACCTTTTCCCTGGCTGCCCCGAAGTCAAGGGCTCTGACTCCTGTGCCATTTTCTTTCCTGGGGCCAAGGTGTCTTATGCCGAGCTGAACTGTGCTGCTTCATGATGGAGGTGTATGCAAGTGAGATGACATCGCTCTGCCTGCTCATTTGAATGTGTCCTTGGATTAGTGCTCACCTAGATTCTGCAATTTCATAACTAGATGATGGAATTCTCATCTATATAAGTCATTGCGAAGTTAGCCTGTTCTAAGGGAGAATGGAGGTGAAACTTGCAGTTCTTCCATGTTGCTGATGTAACTTCATAGCAAACAACTTAAATAGAATGATAGAGAGAAAGAAAACTACAGGGCCCACTCAATAAATCAGGAAAGGTATTCATAAAAGTTTTACATATACACACTGAAGACAAATTGCGAGGGGGTGGTTTAGTGGTCAAGAGCTTTTCTAATATATCTCCTAGCTTGACCCTCAATCTCACACAAAATATATAAAGCACAAAATTCAAACCACATCCATAACTACATGGAGAAGTGAAAACAGAATTTAGTATTTGAGAAAACTCACAAGTAATATTCAAAAATGAAAGATTGAACTGTATATAAAACAGGTAGAAAACAAGTACTTCTGAATTCACCTCCAGGCTTAAAATTGCACCATATGTTCTATGTAGAGTAATTAGTCATGAAAAAAGAAATAAAAAATCTTTCCAAATTGGGAAAGAACTAAAACTATGTTTTCAGATGACATTGTCTCGCATAAAATAAATCATAAAGAATGTACAGAACATCTGCTAGCTAGCATACATCTCATCAGGATGATTCAAACTCACCAGACAAATAAGCCATATGTTTGTCTATTAACAATTAATAACCTAAAACTTAAGAAAATCATTCCATTTACAGTAGTATCTAAATAGCATTATATTTATAAAAGGGTATAAAAGTTCTATATTTAGAAACTTAAAAATCTGTTGAAATTGAAGGAAATGTAAATAAATGTAAAAAGATACTCTCTGTTCTTGAATTCTAAGACTAATCTTTTAAAAGGACAATACTTCATGGTGACATAACTATTTAGTGAGATCCTTGTCAGAGTCCCAGTGACCTGTGCACACAGAAATAAAAAAAAAAAAACAAAAAACCAGAACTGCAAACATTCATGTGTAGCTTCAAGGTACCCTGAAGTCTAGATAATCTTGAACATAATAATAGTACAGTAGAAGGATTTGTCTTCCAATTTCAAGTTTTGTTACATGTACAAATGTAGTACTATATTTTAAGGACATAAGTAGTAATGGAATAGAAGCAAGAACTTGAAAGAAAAAAGATCAACACACTCCTAAGGAGACAACTTTTGACTTGAATGCCAAGTCTGTATAATAGGGGAGGAATAGTTTCTTCAAAACATGATATTTCAACAATTGGATTGCATATACAAAAGAGTGATATTTGGTCCCTATTTCACACCAAAAATAAACATCAGTTCAAAATGTATTAACAACAAGAATATTGGTTAAAAGCAATAAAACAATTAGAAGAAAATATGTACTTGGATTGCTTGGATTTGACACCAAGAGCCAAAAAAAATAGATAAATTGCAATTCATCAAAGTTAAGAAAACATAGTGGAAGGACTTGTCATTGCACTTGGCAGTGACTTCCTTGGCTCTAAAGCAACAGACAGAAGAAAGCAAAACAACAATTAAACATGTGAGATTATTCAAACTAAAAAGCTTCAGTATGACAAAGAAGCAATCAGTAAAAAAGCAACCCATTAAATGGGAGAAAACTTTTGCAAGCCATATATGTGATAAGAGATTAATAACCCAAAGATTTAAGGAATTCCTACAACTCCACAGCCCAAGAACAAATAACTCAATTTTAAAGTATGCAAAGACTAAAATGAACATTTCTTCAAAGAAGACAATGAATGGATAATTGGTTTAGAGAAAGATATTTAGCATCTCTAATTATGAGAGAAACACAAGCCAACCCATAACATGGTTGTAATTTCATACCTAGCATACATATTATTTTTAGAAAGTAACCAATATTGGTAAAGATTCAGAGAACTAAGACCCTTGAGATGCTGATGTTGGTCAGAAGAGCACAACTTCTATGGAAAACTGGAAGGCAGCTCAAAAACAAAAATGAAAACAAAAACAAAAACTGAACAATAAAATTATCAGATAATCCAGGAATTGTGTTTAATTTTTACCTATTAATTTTGTAAGGAAACATCCCATAAAAACAGGAGAAGCAGTCCAGGGTGAGGCACCGAACAACATTTACATCCAGAGTACAAGCGTAAGATTAAAATTCAGCAGTGAAGACGTGTGAAGCTCGGAGTCAACTGGAGCACCCTTCAGTGGAGAACAGAGAGTGTGTGCTTCATCCTGACAAGGCGACGATTCAGAGCTCAAAATCAGTGAGGGATTGTGAAGCTATGAAAAACCGTGGAGGAAAAAGCATTTGCTGTGGGAAAGAGTGCAAAGTGGAAAGAGGCCATGCCTGCTTGATTCCATCTATAATGGTATTCTGGAAAATGCAAAACTGGACTTAAAAACTTCAGCTGTGACCAGGTATAAGGGATACGAAGCAACAAAAAAGAGAAATGCTCTAGGATGATAAAACTCTGAAATTAAATCATACTATAACGAGACACGCAAGTCCTATGAGGTGGGATATAAGTATGTGGTGAAGTTTAAATTTTTGAAAAATATTTACAGTAAAGGACATATGGCTATTAATCCTCAAAATATTTGCCTTGTTTAGAACATATGCATCCCATCATTCTTGGAACAGTCTGAAGCAGTGCAGAACATGCTAATTCATTCAGTGTCTTTTTTTGGTGGCTTTTTTAATGTTCTGAGTCAATTCAAAGTGATAAAAATAAAACCCAAAAAACAAAGTGACTAAAAGTTTTTACAGCAACATTTGCCCAACCAAAGCATTATACTGTATCCTGATTTGCCTTATTCACCAGATCTAGCCCTGTGACATTTCTGGCTCCTCCACAAAATCAAACTGACCATGAAAGGAAAACATTTTGAATCGAATCAAGATAGTAAGGCAGCCACAGCAGCACAAGTAAAAATACTCATGAAACAGGACTTACAAAACTGCTGCAGAAAGTGGCAAGAAGGACAGGGGAAATGTGTCTCAAGGGAGGAGTATCCTGAAGTGGATTCATAACTGTATGTCTTATTAACATTTTTAAACATTCCCTGTATTTTAACCATACCTTGAACATTTCTCTAAGCTAATAAAAACATGCAATACCAATAGTGAATTGCAGGTTAGGTGGAAGATACGGGATGACGTGATCAGTGTACCACTGTGTGTGTGTGTGTGTGTGTGTGTGTGTGTGTGTGTGTGTGTGTGTGTGGTGGGGTGTGCTGCAATGGCAGAGCCCCTGTGGCAGCAGAATGTATGTGTAAAATATCCGTACTTTTGTAGCAACTTCTCTGTGAATCTAAAACTGCCTAAAAATATTTTGAAAATGAAAATAGGTACATCCAATCCAGTTAATTGCCTGGATTATTTTCAGTAAAAACTAGTTTACATTCTACTTTCCCCTGACATATTTCCCACTGCAAAGAGCATATATGCACAATGGACACAGGTATGGTATTGATCCCTGTTTACATATATGCTTGTTTTGAAAGGCGATAGGGAAACTATAAAAGGAACAAATAGGTACCTCAAATTTAATTCTAAAAGTTTAAGAAGCAAGTGTAAAGCTTCTAACATTTCATTTCAGCCTTCCTCGTGGATATAATGTATTTCTGAATGTTTTCTTTATATTAAATGGCAGATTTCCAAAGCAGTAAGGATATTACTTGAGAAATTTTTTGCATTGTGAACTTAAATATAGCTCATTGCATGAAGGTCTGGGAACAATGAATTAAAATTCTTATGCATAATACAAAGTTAAAGTGCCAGTCTTACATAGAAATTTTTGCTTTCTCAATCACCTTGTTGAATGCGCTCTTGACCTCCTTGTTCCTCAGGCTGTAGACCAGCGGATTCAGCACGGGGATGACCATGGTGTAGAACACCGATGCGATCTTGTCCGTGTCCATGGAGTGGCTGGAGCTGGGCTGCAGGTACATGAAGATGACAGCCCCGTAGAAGATGGACACTGCGGTGAGGTGGGAGGCGCAGGTGGACAGGGCCTTCTGGTGGCCCTTAGCTGAGTGCATCTTCATGATGGTGACAAATATGAAGAGATAGGAGACAAAGATAATCAGAAGAGCAAAACAGACATTAAAGCTTGACATAAAAACCAGAATGACTTCACTAAGATGTGTATCAGAGCAAGCCAGAGCCATGACTGCTGGAACATCACAGAAAAAATGATGGACCACATTGGAGTTACCAACTGAAAGGCTGAAGATGTCCCCAGTGTGGAATATGGCATTCAAGAAACCACAAATATAGGATCCTGTGGCCAGACAAGCACAGACTCTCGTGGTCATTGTGCCGGTGTAGTGCAGCGGCTTGCACACCGCGGCATAGCGGTCGTAGGCCATGGAAGCCAGCAGGTAATTTTCCACGGTGGCAAAGGATACAAAAAAGAACATCTGAGCAGCACAAGCATTGTAGGAGATGACCGTGTACCCTGTGAGGAATTCATCCATGACCGTGGGAGCGACGGCTGAGGAGTATGCAATGTCCACCAGAGATAGGTTGCTAAGGAAGAAGTACATGGGGGTGTGCAGACGGGCGTCCAGGAGAATCAGCATGACCATTCCAAGGTTTCCAACCACATTCAAGAGGTAAATGAGAGTGAACATGATTAACAGAGGGGTCTGCAGCTCTGGGACAGCAGTCAGTCCCAGGAGGATGAACTGGGTCACTTCCGTACAGTTCCCCATCAATCTGCTGGAAGTCATGAGATGTCCTACAGTGAGGAGAAATCACAGGAAGAAGACACAGTAAGATAGTCAAAGCTAGACCACAATATTTCATGTGACCCCTGTTTGGGTGGCTAGTATAATAAAATTCTGGTCATGATGGTAAGAAACAGGAGCCCACATATTGTTGATTGGAGAGTCAGTTAATGTATATCCATTATGGAAAAAATCATGAGAGAGTTTGAGAATGTTAACATTGGATCTCTCAAGGGACTTAGCATCCCTTCCTCCTAAATGTCAAAATGTCCCTTATAGAAAAACAGGCAAAATTTAAAATACTGTACATAGTGAGGTACATCAGACACAAACTATGAATACTCCATGATCTTACTCATATCTGGGAGCTTAAACTGTGAGCTTAATGTAGAACTGTGATCATTTGAGACCAGAAAGGAAAGGAAAGTGTATTGTGGAAACAGCACAGTCAAGAGGACTAAAAAGCTGACAGCACGGTCGGTGACTGTCACTCACCTAATGCCTCATGTGCAGTGTCCAGACCGTGGGCCCTGGCGGCTCTGAACTGGCGACCCCAGAAAACAGTAGCGATTCCACCAGACTCCAAGACTAAGGTCAGCCGGGGCCTGACTCTATGAAGCGAAGGACCCAGCAGCCACTGTGCGCGTAGCACAGACAGGGGAGCAAACGGGTGAAAAAAAGAAGGGGGAGCTTGAACACGAAGCGGAACCACCCACCAAGGCGGTGCTGCTCCAGGCGCAGCTTTGGAGAAGGAGCACTCGTGGGATGCGCAGCAGCTGTCCAGGGAAGAAGCCACGCTCCCAAACCCACTTAGTGCGTGACCTCACTTTCTCCGTCTACAACATGAACACGCACAAGACCTGCCAGAAGGTTATTTTTTGAAAAGTAATAAAATAATCCTCGGCGCTGTTGGAGTCTTGAGGTATTACCACTAGGAGAGTCCAGAGCCTGTATTGCGAACAGGAAGCATCTCCTCATTCACAGCATCTGCCCCTAGCTGGTCTCTAGACCAAGCTGTTCTGTGAAACACAGAGTCCTTTAGGGGAAGAAGCCAGGAGCATGGATGCCACTTGGCGCTCAGCCAGGTCCGTGTAGGCCTTGGTGGAGCCCAGCCATGGTGAAGGATAGAGACAATAATTAGATAGAGCTGCCCCTGTAAGCAATGGCAGGAACCATACGTCAGAGGCCTCCAAAATACAGAAACTCTAGGGCCAGCCAAATAGCTCAGCAGGTTAAAGCACCTGCAAGCAGGCGCAGGGCCCAGGGGTTCAAACCCCGGGCCTGCTGTGCTGGCCCCGCTCCTGGGGCACACTGAGACGGCAGTTGAGCCTGGTGTGGTAGTGGCACAAGCCTGCAATCCTAGCTCTTGGGAAGTTGTAAAAGGGTAGATCACTATGAGTTTTATGTGGTAGTGAGACCCTGAACACCTTGTAGACCCTTCCTTAAAAAATTTTTTAAAAAAAGCATGCCAAACTCTAGAAAAGCTCACACAGATACTGAGCTACACGAAGCCCAGACTATAGGGTGACTTAAAGGCCAGTGAATACTATGAAGAGCCCTTGACTCAGTGAATAAATTAATAAATTTAAGCAGAGTATCATCTGTCTTAGAATAAAATTAAATTAAATTAATTATACAAGAGTTACCTGTCTTAGTTCTCTTGATCTTAGTTACAGAAGCAATACAATATTTCTAAAGGGTCGCGACACTCCCTGTCATTCAAAGTTCTGACATTTGTAGCAACAGATTCCACTTACAGCCTGACCAACAAAATATTAGAACATCTCTTTCGGTATTGAAATAACACAGCACACTGTAGCCCTCACTCTACCTTTTTCTTTCTTTTTCTGTACTAGGGAAGGAATTCAGGACCTTGCTCTTGCCAGGCAGGCACTTACCTGCTAATCTATCGCTTCAAACCTCACTCCTTTTGGATGAGTTAATCTTTTCAGGAAAAATGTATACCCAGTTGATTATAGGCTAGTCATGCCTTAACGAAGTGGCTTTGTAAGACTCCCCTGGATGTATGTGTGTGGAATATAGAGGCTCCACATTGCTGCTGGAGAAGAAGCGATGATCGATCCTAGGTAGAGAGCCTAAAATCAGAAATGCAACCCTGGAATAGCACGAAAGTCCCATTGAGAAGCTGCTCACATGGAGACTGTTCTAATCATTCCACATTTTCCCAGAGAAAATGGGAGGAATCACTAACTTGGCACCAAGAGCATGCAGTCTTGAGTCTGTAGCCTGTTCCCTGAGCCTCGGCACACACTCTTGTCCCCTACGACACATAGCACAGGGTCCTCTTGGGATTGGAGCACCCAGTACAAGGGAGCCTTGGGGAGAAAAAGGAAGCAGAGCTCTCCAGACACTCCCAGTAGGAGGCACTCAGAGCTCCTACCTGCCCTCCTCTGAAAGAAGCCACTGAACTTCCCCTGGGGACCTTTCTGCCTTGGATCCCTACGCACAAGTGTTTCTGTATTGCTTGTTTTTCATTTATCATCTAATGAATGCATCAGTGACTCACAGCAGATCCACGCTTTGTGGTGTTTATATGGGTTTGCTGAGCACAGAGAGGTACCCACTACTACAAACAGGACTAGGAACTTTGCCTCATTCCCAGTAAAAATCCTAAGCCTGTGGTCACCTTCTTCTGCCACCACTCCCCTAACACCACATGACTCTCCTGACATTCCTGCTGTTTGGTCCCTGAAAGACACTTGGTTCTTGCTGTCTTTGAGTCTTGCTTCATTCGATTAGTAGAATTTATTTGGGATCCATCAGTGTGGCTGTCATTAGCAAGATTGGAGTCTTTTTTCATTGTGAAATAGTATTTCCTTGGGATGAATGAAGGTGCAGAGGTAGAAGACAGGAGCAAACTGACGTCCCTTTTTGAACAAATTTGCAGCATTAAAAATTTCAAACTCTGAAAGCAGATGCCAGACATCCACTGTGGGCATCTACTATATTTTTGGTATATAGTAAGATGGACAGTAAGTTGCTTTGACAAAGACTCATACTAGAGAACTAACATAGCCATCACTTCACATCACTACCCTCCTCTATTTTCCCAGAGCACCTAATATTTACTCTTTTTCAAAACTCCCTACGTGCAATAAAATACTGCAGGTGTGGTCTTAAGCCATGTGTAACTCAGTTGTCATAATGAATGAGTTGGAAATCCTTTCATATTTTCTCCATGACAGTCCATTTACATTTTTATCTTTTTAAAACTGTAATGCAGACATGTTGGTCTTCCCAGAGGGACTCCATCGAGACAGAAATATTGCTAAAATGGCTAGTTGTAGCTCCTACGTAAATGTTCCAATAAAGTGCATTCACTTAGATTTGCATTTGAAAAATTTCCTTTTTTCTCCTAAGACCACTAGAGAAGCCAGGTGTGGAGGAGCACCCCTGTAGCGCCCGTGCTCAGGAAGCTGAGGCAGGAGGGTCACTGCAAGTTTAAGGCCAGGCTGAGCCACATCCTGATTTCAGGGCCCACCTACACGACTACCTAGGAAGACCTTGTCTCAAACAAACAAACAAAACAAAAAATTACATGCTCTTAAACTAAAGAAATAAGGGTAGATATTATTTTTATTTTAATGACCAAATTAAAAAATTTATATTGTTTTACTGTGAATAACCGATTCTTTATTTATCTCTTTACACAATCATTTAGCCTTTTACTGGCTATGCCTTACCCAGACTCATCCCACCTGTGCATGCTCCTACATAGATCATACATGTATGTTCGTGCTCCTGTTCATAGAATTGCTTGCATCACTATTTTAAGCATTTGTTTGCAATGCCATGTGGGACAATTAACAACAAGACAGTATACAATTTTTAAATGGCAAATAATCTGGCTAGACAAGCTTCATAAAAAGAAGTACAAATGGATAAAACACATGGGAAAATAGTCAATATCATTAACTATCAGAAAAGTGCTCATCTAGTTCAGAGAAACGTGATCTCACCCCAATTCACATGGCTAATGTTTAAAAGCCACAAATCAAAATAAGAAAGAGAAAGGAGCTATCATATACCATTTGTAGGAATGAAAATTAGTACAAGAGTTTTGGACAAGAGCAGAGAGTTACCTCAGTAAAAATACATCACTGTTTTCTTCTTGTACTACTAGGGATTACACTCAGAAGCTGTGTGTGCTAAGCAAGCCCTGACCGCCGAGACACATCCGTCAGCCCCAAGAGGTCTTTGCTGTGATCCAGCATCCCATCTTCTGGGTACAGAGACAAATGAAAGGAGCTCGGTGCTGCAATGAGGCACCTGCACTCCCCAGGTTAGTTCTGCAGTCTCCTCGGCAGGGAAGACGAGACATCCACGTGGGTGCTAGAGCAGATGAACGCGTGCAAGTGTGCCGCACATGGGCGATGCAACGCGCTGGCCCTCAGAAGAACTACATCCTGTCGTTGGCAGCAAGGCGGACGCAATTGGGAAACACATTGTTAAAAGAAACAAATGGAGGAAGAAAAGTATCACATGGGCATGCTCACAAGGAAGCTTAAAAATATAGAATAGTAAACACAGAACAGTGGTTATTAGAGGATGAGAATGGGTTGGGAGAGAAGAGATAAAGGGAGGGCGGATTTGATCAGTGAATCCTGTATGGGAGAATTGAAATTTGACACCCAATCCAATTCACATATATAATTAATGCATGTAATAAAAATGTTCAAATCAATATAGTTAACTTTTTGACAAGGAAAACCAAAAGCATCTCATGTTGTCACTAAACCAGTATCACTCACATATCAATGTTTTTACTAGACAATAGAGTGAGGCAATAAGAGTATGACTATAGGAAATAAATATAATGTGACCGTTAAAAGATGAATTAAAATGATGTAAGACACCCAAACTTAGTGTCTTGTGCATCATACAGTATTCAGTACTAGAGATAATTTGGCCTTTGTAAGATCTTTTTAAATGCACCCTTGACCTCCTTATTCCTCAGGCTATAGACCAGTGGGTTGAGCATGGGGATGACCATGGTGTAGAACACGGATGCCATCTTGTCCGTGTCCATGGAGTGGCTGGTGCTGGGCTGTATGTACATGAAGATGATGGTCCCGTAGAAGATGGAGACAGCCGTGAAGTGGGAGGCACAGGTGGACAGAGCCTTCTGGTATCCCTGAGCAGAGTGCTTCTTGAAGATCATGTTAAATATGAACAGATAGGAGATCAGTACAACCAGAAGAGCACCAAAGACATTGAAACTTGTAAGGAAAATAAGAACCATCTCAATAATGTGTTTATCTGAACAAGAGAGAACCCTGACTGCTGGAACATCACAGAAAAAGTGGTGGACCACATTGGCCTCACAGAAGGAGAGACTGAATGTGCCCCCAGTGTGGACAGAGGCATCTAGGAAGCCACAGAAGTAGGAGCCCATGACCAGGTGCATGCACACGCACCTCGACATGACTGTGGAGTAGTGCAAGGGCTGGCACACGGCAGCATAGCGATCATAGGCCATTAATGCCAGGGTGGCATTTTCCACAGACACAAAGACGACAAAGAAAAACATTTGAGCAGCACATGCATTGTAAGATATGACCGTGTCATTTATAAGGAGCCCCACCATCACTCTGGGAGTGACAGCAGAAGAGTACCCAAAGTCTGCCAAGGAAAGGTTCCCGAGAAAAAAGTACATGGGAGTGGAGACGGGAGTCCAAGAGGATCAGCAGGACCATTCCCAGGTTCCCCAAGATGCAGAAGAGGTAAATCAGGGTGGACAAGATGAAGAGGGGAATCCGTAGCTCCGCAGCACTGCTTAGACCATCCAGGATGAAGTCTTTCACCTCTGTGCTATTGGCCATGGGAAATTCAAGTTTTCTGTAATAGAGAGAAAGAAAGGAACAGCTGGTAATGGAAAAGACATTGCAGTGAAGTATATAAGCATTTTAGTTTTTAATCATCTTCTTTGTCCTTCATGGCCTGCTGATCTAGGGCAGAGATTTCAACAATAACAACAAAAGAAATGCATAATCTATATAGTTCTATTGTTGAAGCTAGAGGTCCCCTATTAATGGCCTGGCCCAAATGGCACATGCATAAACAAACAAAATGGGGTTGCAAAGATGGTGTATTTGTGTGAGCCTATGCAATTGCAATGAATAAAATCTCCCAAATCATTTCACTGAGTCTTAAAAGCTTGCATCTGTACAATACTCATTACAAATATTCCCTGATGTTTACTATGTGCATAGTTTAATCTTCTCAAGAAACTTCTAAGAGGTTAGATACTTCTTGTACTTTTCATTTGAGCGTCCACTGGTGAAGGCAAGATTCGTCACACAGACTGATGCTCATGCTGGCAAAAGACATGGATGGGATTGAACTTGGACCAGTTCGTATTTGCTCACTGAGCCTGTTTGACTGAGCTCCACGCTTTGCAGAACTTAGACACGCAGCAGAGACACGTGTGAAGCCAAGGACGTGTCCTCACGGTGTCAGTACAGACGTGAGCACCCTGCAAGGCAATTCTGAAGGGAGGATTTGTGACTGCATACCAGTGAGAGTCAGGAAAGAGTGTCCCGTGCATCTACGTGACAACCTGTCTTCCAGTGCTCGGGAAACATGGGCCCTGGCACAACCTCTCTGTGCTCATCTTTACTATTAAAATGAAGATGATTATGAGACCTTGCAAAGGGATTGTTGTCATAACTGATATAT